GTGAAATACTAGGAGGTAAAAACAGCTTGGTTTCCAGGCTTTCTGCAGACTTCCACAACCTGGAAAGCCAGTCAGCCCAGGAATTTCCCACCCCACTCCCTTCCCACTTCCCAGGTTTTTAAACAACTCTCCCTTTGGCCTTTTTTCTCCCTAGAAAGTTCCAGATCTAGGCCATACCTATTTATAGTCCCTTTCCCTTTGCTGATAAAACGGGACACAGGGCTGGCTGTGCGCGCCATTCCAGAGGGGCTACCAATACTCCTAGGGCTAACACATTCTAGGCCTGGTGAAAACCTTAGGTATGAGGAGCCTCGAAGTTGTGAGAAGGCCAGAGGCTGGTGCAGGACTCACCTCCTCCTATTCATGACGGAGCCACGGAGCATCTTCAAACAAGCTCACATTATGCTCCGCAGGCATGGTGCCGTGGCTTAGAAATTCTCCTCTCAGCAGCCCCCCGTGAGAACTGAGCAAGCCTTGGGCCAGGCCCCGCTGTGCGGGCCTCCCCGGGCTCCACAGAGGCCTTTTATCTGGCCGAACACAGCAGAAGGTAAACAGGGCCAGCCCTGAGCAAAACTGACAAGTCGGGCAGTCTGTGTACAACCTCCAGACACCCTTTCTTGGCCTTGCAGGTAGGGGCCCTCCTCCCTTCCCTCAGAAGATCAAGGGCTCGCTGGATAGGTGTTCCTCCTTTCGCTTGCATGCACTGCCTTGCTCCGCCTGCGCTTATCTGGAAGGGCAACTGCCGGGAAGCGCTTACACCTTGCACAGGCGCACTGAAGCCTCACAGCCACCCAGCACAGGTGGCAGGGACCGCAGGGGAATGAGTTTGTACGGATGCACGGATGGGGGGCCTGCTATGAGCCAGGCACTGTATGGGGCACTCCCTCTTACAGGAATATATTAGCTCACTGAATCCTTTAAATAAGCCAAGGACACGGGGATGACTACCCTACTTCTATGGGTAAGGAAACAGAGTGGTTAAGAGACCTGCCCAAGGTCACAGAGCTAGAAAGTCTGACTCCAAAGCCTGTGCTTTCTCAGCAGGCCACTTAACCTTAGCCTGGTGGCTTAGACAGCCTGAGGTGCCCCTTAGAAAGATGGGCTGAGGACTGACTCCTCACAGCTAAGGAGAGAGCTCACACTCCGTGGCCAAGCACAAGCACACCACTGCCCTCTTGGCGGGCCTGGCCTCCTTTTCCCCTTCCACTCCCTGCTGTGCACTTTAGGTTCCAGCTGCAGTTGCTGCTCCCCAGCCTCTGCTCGCTCCTGCTGTCCTCTGGCCTGGAGTGCACACCCCTCCCTCCCTCCCTCGGCTGCCTCCACTCATGACTAAGACTCAGTTCAAAGTACATTTTTTTTTCCTCTTTTCTACTTGAAATTGTATTTCTCCAATTCTACAGTATTTTATCCTAATATATAGCACAGTTCTTATGCTTGGAAAGCTTTTATTGATCACCCTAACGTAATTCTCTACAACCAAAACGCATATTTAAAAACAGACTCAATTCTTTTCTTTCCCTAATTTAATGCTCTAGAGCAGGGTTTCTCAACCTCGGCACAACTGACATTTTGGGCCAGATAATTCTTTGGGGGGAGGGGGTGTGGATCCTGGGCATTGTAAATGTTTAACAGCATCCTTGGCTTCTATCCACTAGATGCCAGTAGGATCTGCCACTCCCCAACCCCTACCAAAGTCATGAGTGTCTTTAGATATTGTCGAATGTCCAGGGGCGGGGGGAGGAGGGCAAAACTGCTCACTGCTCAAGACTAGGCCTTGCCCATGAAGCCCCTTGAGTCTTCCAGCCTGGATCAGGCCTCCCCACCTTGGCTGACCTCCACCACTGCCTCTGTACACTGTACTCACTGTTGTTTCCTTCTCTGTCTCGCTCACAAGACTAGGAACTCCACAAGGATAGGATCCTGTCTTTACAACTAGCACTGCGCTCTGTAACCTCGGAGATGGATGGCAGATGCCTGGAGGCCACAAAAGCCAAATCCCTAGCCCCAGGAAGCTGCCTGGCCCCTCTAGCTCCTCCAGTTACTTCCTTCTTGCCCAGCCCAAGGACGGTCTCCACCTTGCTCCTTTCTCCTTGTCCCAACGTATTCACTTTTACTGCATCCATTTTCCAAGGTTCTCCATCTACATGTTCTGGGTTGGCCAATTTAGCCTCAAAGCCCAGGGTTTCTACTGCCCTGAGGACTTGCTCCAGGCTAGGTGGTCCTGTCTCCTGCCCACATCAGAAGTGGGAAGGAGGATGAGATAGGCAAAGAACACCGATTACACCAATGCAGCATGGCCTCCACAGCTAGACTGGCAAACCCAGAGCCTGGGCTGCACTGCATTTTATTTTTTCTTAAATTGAGGTATAACATACATACAGCAAGCAAAAGGCATTACTTTTAAGGGTACAGCTCAGGGAACCTGTTCTTAAGAATAAATGTCAGTGCACATGTGTATCCTTGGGGTGAAGCAGATAAACTTTCTGCACCCCAGTTCCCTAATGTGGGAGGGGGTATGGACTGAACAATTTAGAAGCACCATGGTTCTACGGATAGGGTTCTCCCTGGATATTACGTATACTGATAATGTTTATACATAATTGAAAACTAGGCAGAGAAAACAATGCCAATTTGTTGCTTAAAATGTTTATTATTTACGCCTAATCACCGTGAAGTCCAGTAACTACTGTGAATGAGTATATATAACTATAAATATCTGTTGCATTTACATTTGTGTAAGTTTACCTCTATCCCACTATTCTGTCTGAATATGCTAAATCTCTGTATTCCCTGCTGCCTACCATTTCCTATCATTTCAATCCGGGTCCGGAGGACTTGCAGCCGGCCTGTGTGAACTACGATTAAGAGGTACTCGTGCAGAACCGACTGGCCTAACTCTGTTCATGTCAGCTCAGTGACCTGAGTCTTACCTAAAACGGTTCCCTTCAAGCAGCAGTAACTCAGCAAGCATTTATTTGGTGCCTACAATGTACCTGGCATCAAGCTGGGCGTAGGGGAAATGTGGGGAGGAGAGAGACAAGGTCCTGGCTTCTAGAACTTCCAAACTAATGGTGACAACAAGCAAGGCGGCTGAAGGGACTGTTCCCATAACCACCTCCTCCATTCTTTGCACTGGCCTTTAAAAGCCACAGGGCTGTTTTCTCAGGAATGCAAACACACCGTGGCTGGGCTGGGCTATTTTTACTTCCCACGTCTGCCTGAGGAGGAGACTTAAAGCAAGGCGAGCTCCCAGGCCCGCTTCTCAGGGATCCGCCAGCCCCGCGCCTTCTTACTTACCCATCCGCCCTCTGAGCAGATTCGTACTTTCTGCATATCTGCGGGGCCATCCTCCAGTTCCCGGCTCTGAATCTCCTCTTCCTCTTCCTCTTCTTTCAGGGTCAAATTGAGAGGGTAGGCTGTGGACGCCATCTCTGTAAGCAAGATTCGGTTCAGAAAAAACAGGTGTCAGTATGACCTCTCCAAAGCCCACGAGGTGGGGAGGCCCAGACACACACGAACCTCTTTTGCCCCAAGCTTTGTTCTGGCTGGAAAGAAGGGAATAGAAGGTGACATATTTAATTATGATAAGAGGGGCTGTGGGTGGGTAGGTGATGTACCTGGCTGCCTTCAAATATTTAAAAGCCATCTACAGGAGAGAGACCAGACTGGCCTGTGGAGGCTGAAGAACTGAGGCCAGTGGGTAAACATTCCCAGAAGCGGTTTCAAGCAGGCACTGAAAGGCAGTACTTTCTCACAGCCAGTACCGCCCAACAGGCATCAGAGGGAGGGAGGAGTGCAGACTTCCTACTCCACTGGGTCGGTACTGGAAGGCACTTAAGCATCAGGAGTGGCTGGCCCAGAAGGCTCAGCATCTGGATTGTCCAAATTCAAAGGTTCTGTCCAACAGCTGGTTCAGAAAACAGTCGTTCTACCTTAAGGGACTTTCCTAACCCGGGAGTCGGTGACACACAGCGAGGGGTATGCCTGGATACCCCAAAAGGTGCAGAAATCTGCTAGGGCCCGCCCGACCTGGAAATGACTCGTGGCTTCTGGGCCGCGATTTCTCTATCCGCCGGCTCCCAGGCCAGTACAAAGGGCCACGCTCCTGCCTCCTAGGGGCGTGGGCAACTCCCAGGTGTGGAGTGGGGGCGCTTCTCGAGGGCCCCATCTTCCGGGGCTTCAAAGGAAAGATGCCTCCGGAGTTCAAAGTCAGCTTCTTCGGTATTTCCAAGGATGACGGGCGAACTCGGCAGGGACGGGGCCGGGGCGGGCAGGGCAGGCTTCAGGCCCCCGCAGCGGGGGCGCGAACTTGGCCGCGGCTTCCGCGCCCGCCCGCCGCGGGGCAGGAGGCGGGAGGGGCGGCGCGCGAAGGTCCCGCAGCCAGGCGCCGCCGGCCACCGCGCCCGCCCGCCGCCGCCGCCGCGCCGGGCGCGCTCGGTTTCTCCAGCCATCTTGTCCCATTTCCGTTCTCGCGGCCCGCGCCGGAGCGCTCCGCCGTCGCGCCGCCCGCCGCCAGGCCCCGGCCCGCGCACCTGCGGGCGGCGAGAGCCGGCGCGCCTGCCTGCCCGGCGGCCCGCAACAAAGGCGGCGGCGGCGGCGGAGCAGCTCGGCGTCCCGTCCGCCGCCGGGCCGGGAGGGGCGCCGCCCGCCCGCCCCGCGCCACTCACCGCCGGCCGAGCGGCCGGGGCGCGGGCTGGGCACGCGAGGGCTCCGGCCGGCGGTCACGGCGCCATCCTCTCCGCCGCTCCGGCTTCCAGCGCGCGCGGCCCCTCGGGAGGGAGCGGGGAGGACACGTGGTGGGAGGAGGAGGGTCCGGCCGGGAGCTGAGGGTGTTGGGAGGCGAGGGGAGGAGCGCGGCTGATGTCAGCAGGCCTCGGCGGCGCCGGGGGACGGCGCCCGGGCGAGCTCCGGACCCTCCTCCCGGCGCGGCTTCCGGCCGGCGCGCGCCCCGGGCGCCTCGCCGGCGCGGCCGAGCGCTCCGCCGGGCGCCCGCTGCCGCCAGCGCCGCGTGCGACCTCCGCGGGCCTGAGGCAGGGAGGGCCCGGATTCGGTTCCCAGCCGGGTGTGGCGTGGGCGCGCGCATCCGTGCGCTGGCTTGCGTTCGCCGGTGGGTTCGCCGGTGGGTTGCGCTTGCTTGGATGGGCACTCGGGGCTTGCCCGCCGTCGCTTCGTGGAGGAGCCTGAGGACGAGACGGGCAAGGGAGTGTAGGGGGATGAGGAGGAGTCTTTGGGGAAGAGTGTTCTATTCTGGCAGGGTTATGTCCAGAACTTGCCAGTGTACACGGAGAAGGAGCTTCCTGATTTTCGTGGTGGTTGCCTGCTAAATCCCAAGCATATAAGGTGTATGGAAGGATCTTTCATCTGCAGATCGTTGCAAGGAGTTGTTTACCTGCATCTCTGTGGACAATACAACGAAAGTGGCCTGAGAAACACCGAAGCGCTCTCTTCTCATTCCAGAAAAAGATTTTGGATTTGGATTATTTTGTTGTTGTTGTTGTTGGGAACTTGTTAAAGAAAAAATTACTCCGATACTGGTTGAAACAGTAAGGAAGACTTTATTCAGGGTTATTGAGATAGGTGTCAAGAGCATCACAATAGGGGAGAGAGATGGCATCCAACACAGAACACAGGAAAGACAGCTGGGAATTTATAGCCAAGGGGCAGAATGAAGAGGGTCGGTGGATGGAAAATTGCTGAGAAGAAGAGTAGAGGGATTCTGGCTAAACTGACTTAACAGGATTCTTGCTGAAGGCCTGCCTGTGTGATCAGATATCAAGGGCAGGGGATTAGGAATTTGATCAGATATGAATGATGATCAGATATCAAGGGTGGAGTATTCTCTCGAAACTGATTTAGAAGGATTCTTGCTAAAACTGGGTTGGGCATGCAAAAGGTTGTGGTGGTGATGGTGGTGGGCTGTTGGGCAGGGCGCCAGGGACGAGGCTGGTCAAGGAGAGAGTCTTTGTCAGACTTTTCAGATTGTCCCTGAGACCTTAGTACCTGTTGGCAAAGCTCTGTCTCTGCAACTTTTTGTGGCCATTCCTATTTATTTATGTGTGATTTTACTTCTCTCTGCAGTGGGAGAGGCCACTGTTTGTCGTGGTTTTAATACATAAAATACAGCATGACAGACATATCTTGGAAGTGCCATTGTTTCTGACAATCCAAGACCAGGGAAGGTCTCATGGATGGATGGAAAAGATTATTCAAATATGGGGATGTGGTTCAGAATTTTTTGTTTGTTTTAATAAGCAGTTCTTTTTGTGTATGACAGTATTTTTAGAGCAGGTGTGACATCTTAGCTGAGATTGATTGACATTCCCATTTGAATTTTGCCAGAGGAAATGGCAGATTCAAATAGAAAAGTGAGGAGAGTGTCAGGAAGGGAGCGGGGTACCAGGGGCATCACTGGCATCTCAACTTTTTAGAAAAAAATGATACAAGTTATGAGATAACCACAAAGGCATATTATGTCAGGGTTTTAGTCTCTGAGAGTCCCTGATGTTCTCATGCAGCTTTGGTTAGATGTCTCTGAAAGAAAGCTATCCAACAATGACCCACCTGAATTCTCTGCTTTGAACCCACAGCCTCATGATCTCTGTTACTGTCATGGGACCCACCTTTATACAGGTCCATAATTGCTAACAAGACTTACTCTAGGAACAAAGTGCTGGTGTAGGCACAATACCCTGCAGACATATTCATGTATAAGAGGTTTTATAAGTCATCTCATTTCTCTTTGCTTGGGTTTGCTCATATGCAAAAAGATATTGTCCAAGCTTTCCCTTAGCTCCGTTATTCGGAGTTTCCATTCTCCATAAGAACTTTGTCTTCGTCTGAAGGAGAAGTGATTGAAGCAAGCCTTTGAGATAGTGTATGCTTTGGTAATTCAGTAGGATGAATTTCTGTTAGCAGGTGGCTGCTACATAGCAGCAGAACACCCATGTAATCAACATAATCTAAATAGTTCTTTAAGGATGGTGTTGTCTGACTTCATCCTTTCTCCTGTTGGATTATTGCAGTACACAAGCCATAGGGCTTCCAAAGAGGCTCATATTCCATAAAATGCTCGTTTTAAACTGTAGCGTCCCTTGGTGAACACACATTTCTGACCCTCTTCCTGGCCAGGTCAGCATAGCTACTGACCCACGCAACTATTCCTCAGCAACTGTGATAGGTTGAGTTCATAGTCTCTGTTCTTTGTGTCCTTGTGGTAGTGTTATACACCATGCCTTTGCTGAGGTCCCATGTGTGCAGAATGTACTTCAGCACCCCTTCACTTGGCCTGGGCATGTGATATGCTTCGGCCAATGGAGTGTGGAGGGAATCTCTGTGTATGAGTCCTGAGCAGAGGTCGTAAGAGGTCTCATATGTTTCCACGTATACCTCTGAACGTCTTTGATCTCTGCTATGACAAAAAATATGCCTAAATAGTCACTGCCCCTTCAACCAGGGCATCAGAGCGAGGCATGTGTTATAGAGCCATCCTGCCTAACATGAAGGCCAGTGACCATGAGAAGAGATCATTGTTTTAAGCTACTGAGTTCTGGGTGTCTTGTAATGTAGCATTTTTATGGCTCTAGCTAATTGAGACAGTGATAAAAGGCAAGCTTGGACTTAGGGTTGCCAACATTGGCCCTCATGGGGATGCTCTGAGCGGGGAGAAGGAGAGCTGACCATTTCCTGGTGGATATCCTCTGGTCTGTGGATAAGGAAATCCTAGATGGGGAGGGAAGGAGGAGAGAACAAATGGAGGGAAGGAGCCTCACTGCTGACTATGTCCTTCTCTTCCCTAGAATTCTGGAACTTCAGAGGAAGAGAAAGATATGACCCAAGCCTTAGAAATTACCCAATAAAGCCGCAGGTTTTTCCTGGCAGATCTTGACAAAGTGGTAAAGAAAACCCTGTACGGTTCTTGGAAGGGCTTAGAGGTTCCTGGAGAGGAGATGTGTGGTTTGATCCCCTCAGATGGTTAAGGAACAGTCAGTAGTTTCTCTAGACGAGGAAAGAGAATCATAATACTTAATGTTCTATTAGCTACTGTATCAAACAGACTCCCAAATGCATTAAGGCTCAAACACAACAGAAATGTATGTAACAATGCATTGTGGGTATTCCTGGTCTAAAGGTGACTCCCCCATCCTGTGATTTAGGGAACCATGTTCTTTCCATTGTGTCACTTTGCTATAACCTAAGGCCTTCTGGTTTTCCTCATCCACAGAGTGAAGGGAAAAGAGAAAATGGAGAAGGTACACCTTTCCTTAGCCCTCAAGTGACACATGTCTCTTATGTTCGTTCATATTGCATTGGTTGAAGCTGGGTGTGGTGAAGGGTACCTGTAGTCCCAGCTACTCAGGAGGCTGAGGCGGGAGGATCACTTGAGATCATGAGTTCGAGGCTGCTGTGTTCTATGATCCTGCTTGTGAATAGCCACTGCACTCTAGCCTGGGCAATATAGTGAGACCCTGTCTCTCAAAAAAAAAAAAAAATGAAAAACAAAAAAATTGTCACACATTCTATTGGTTGGGATCAGTTACATGCTCACACCTATATGAGAAAGAGCAGGAAAATGTAGTGCGTGTCAAGCAGTCACTTCCCAGTGACAGCCCCATACGCTGAAAAGAGAGCATGGATTTTTGTCTCTGCCACAAAGATGCTTTTACTTTCAACACTTTAAACATTTCACTCCACTGTCTTCTTGCTTGTAAGGTTTTTGATGAGACATCCAGTGTATTTTTTATCCTTGTTCCTCTACAGGTAAGGTGTTTATCTTTCCTCCGACTTCAGGATTTTCTGTCTTTGGTTTTCTGCAGTTTGGATATTGTATTAATCAGGATTCTCCAGAGAAACAGAGCCAATAGGAGACATAGGTAGATAGATACACACACGCACGCACACACACACATATGTATGAGATTCGTTATGGGAATTGGCTCCCGTGATTATGGAGGCTAAGTCCCACAATATGCTGTCTGCAAGCTGGAGGATCAGGAAAGCTGGTGGTATAGTTTAGTCTGAGTTTGAAGGCCTGAGAACTGGGTGTGTATGTGTGCGTGTGCGTGTGTACATGTGCTGCTATAAGTCTTCCAGTTTGAAGGCCTAAGAACAAGAAGCTCTAATGTCCTAGGGCAAGACAAAATGGAAGTCCCAGCATAAGAAGAAAGAGAGTTCACCCTTCCTCTGCCTTTTTGTTCTATTCAGTCCCTCAACAGGTGGGACGATGCTACCCGCATTGGTGAGGGCAGATTCAAATACTTGTCTCTTCTGGAAACACCATTACAGACACACTCAGAAATACTGTTTAACCAGTTGTCTGGGTATCCCTTTAGCCCAGACACATAAAATTCACCATCACAGATATGCTATTTCTAGGTGTAAATTTTTTGATATTTATCCTGCTTGGTGTTCTGTGAGTTTCCTGAATCTGTGGTTTGGTGTCAGTCATTAATTTTGGAAAATTCTCAGGTATTAGTAGTTCAGATATTTCTTTTGGTTTTCTATCTCTCTTTTCCTTTTGATATTTCCATTATGTGTATATTATACCTTTTGTAATTTTCCTGCAGTTCTGGTTTTCTTTTTGCTTTTCATTCTGGAAAGTTTCTATTGACATATCGTCAGGCTCACTGATTCTTCCTTTGACTCTGTCTAATCTACGGATAAGGCCATCAAAAGCATTCTTCATTTCTGTTATGTTGTTTTTGATTTCTAGAATTTCCTTTTTGTCTGAGTTTCCATCTCTGTGTTGAGATTACCCATTAGTTTTTCCATTTTGTTCACTTTTCCTGTCAGAGCTGCTAGTATATTAATCATAGTTATTTTAAATCTCAATTTTGATAATTCCCAAATCACTGCCATATCTGAGTTTGGCTCTGACGGTGACTTTATCTCTTCAAACTGTGTTTTTCGCCTTTTACTATACCTTGTCATTTTTTGTTGAAAGCCAGATATGATCTATTCCGTAAAAGGAACTGAGATAAATAGGCCTTCAGTGTGAGGTTTTATGTAAATTGGCTGGAAATTAGTCTATATTTATTGTTTGCTATAACTGTGGTGTCAGAGGTTAAAATCTCCTTATGTGTTTTTGTCTCCTCTGTTGTCTTTGGATTTCCCTAGAGACTCTATCCTTCATAGAGTCTAAGGCTTGCAGGTCTTTTAGCTGTAAGCCCCTGTTATTAGACAGAGACTGATTGATGTGGTGTTAAGATTCGCAGGGAAGAGAAGCATTCTGTGATCCGATGATTAGGTCTCAGTCTTTCAGTGAGCCTGTGTCCCTGGTCGTGGACCTTCACAAGAGCTTCTCAGCTTTCCTCTCCCTCTGCCTCAAGTGAGACAGGAAGAGGGATCTGGAATTAGGTATTTCCCTTCCCCAGGTCTATTAGACTGTGGTAAGACCCAAGTCGGTTAGGCTCTCATAAAATAGTTTCCCTTGGCCAGGTGTGGTGGTTCACGCCTGTGATCCACTTTGGGAGACCAAAGTGAGAGGATTTCTTGAGGCCAGGAGTTTGAGACCAACCTAGGCAACATATTGAGATCCTGCCTCTACAAAGAATAATAATTTAACATATTAGCTGCTATGTGAGTTGTATTTAACTCACACTAGTTTTGAGCCTGGGGCCTTGTGAAGTGTATGCAACTCACATGTCCCTTCACCTTAGGAACCACGAGAACCATTTGTAAAGTTGCACATAACTCACGCACAGAAAACAATAAAAAAAATTTTTTTTTCACTAAATTAGAAAGGGTCGTTTTGTTATCAAAGTTTTTATTCTATTTTTGTAATGAAACCCTGTGGCCTCAAGGGAAAAAAATTTTTTTTTTCCTACTGTGGCGGTCAATGTGTTAAAAAAAATTAGCTGGGCATGATGGGGTGCACCTGTAGTCCCAGCTACTCAGGAGGCTGAGGCAGGGTAGTCTTGCTTGAGACAGACGTTGAGGTTGCAATGAGCTACATTAGTGCCACTGCACTCTAGCCCATGCAACAGAGTGGGACCTTGTCTCAAAAAAAAAAAAAAGTTTCCCTTGAGGACAGGCTTTTGTTAAGAACTGAATACTCTGGGCTTATTTCAAAATGGCTATTTGTCCCTCTCCCTTTGCCGGAAGCATTATTGGAATTTTCTCTGATTTTCAGCCTGAGAACCTGGAGGTAAAACTTCTGAACGTGTGGGGGCTCCACTAAGACTGCCCCCAGGGGGTGGTTACTCACACGCTGGTCCACACTGAGCCTCTGACAAGTGCCCCTACTGCGTTGGCTCCAGCTGCTGGCCTCTGCTCCTGTAAGCCCTGATTCTTCCTATTCATCTGTTTCTCCACTTTTTAGGGCAGGAGCTTGTCCTGGGACCTCAATTTTCTGATGGATCTAGAAAGAGTTGTCAATTTTCAGTTTGTTCAGCTTTGTTTCTTCTGAGGACAGGAGTGACCACTTCCGTGCTCTTTACGTGTTAGGACTGGAAACTGCTTTCCTTATTAGAAAAAAAAAATTCTTTTGCTCATGGAAAAGAATAAAAATCACCTGAAATTCTCATCACATACATGTAACTAATGAATATGATTGCTTTTTAGGAAAATCTGCAGGCATAATATTAAAATGTAGCTCAGCAAAGATGACTAAGTAAGGTGATAAATGGTTAAATTTTTATATTTATCCCTTAGGTGTCCAAGTCTTGATCTAAGGAGTAAATTTGAGATTTTGGAAGAGTAGCTGGAAGCTTATTTTTTGTTCAGTCTTCTTAGAGTATCACTGCTCCTGGCCTAGCTTTTGCTAAGACACAGAAAGGAGACAGTACTCTAATGAGAGCTTAAGATGTTGGTGTCTTATATTGCCTGCTGGAAGATTTTCGAATGCTTTGGAATCCACTTTAGCAGGGGAGGAATTGATGTCCAACTACAAAATTTCAAAAATTAAGTGGCCTGGATCTGTAGACATGTAGAAAGGCATCTGTAGACAAAGTCAGACTTTATAAGTAATTTTAGATCAATGTCAGCACATATTTGATTGGATCCTTAATGTTCCGAACCTCAAACATGGCAAAATAATTTTGATCTGGAAAAATTTTAAAGCAGATGTTAACAGTTGTCCTGCAAATGTTATAGAGAAGTAATGGTCCCATGAATATGATGTCCCATCTGCTGTAGTTTGAATGTGGTCTGTCCCTGCCAAAACTCATGTTGAAATTTAATTGCCAATGTAATGATGCTGAGAGGGGTGGTGAGGCCTTGAAGAGTCATTTGGGTCATGAGGGATCTGCTCTCCTGAAGGATTAATGCAGTGTCAAAAGAGTGAGTGAGTTCTTGCTCTCACAGGAAGAGAGCAGGTTGTTATAAAGCGAGACTTTAGCCTCTTTGTTTCCCCTTCCTTCTGCCATGAGTTGAGGCAGCTCAAGGCCATCATGGGATGGGCTGCCTGAACTTGGACTTCCCAGCCTGCAGAACTATGAGCTCAATAAACCTCTTTTCTCTATAAAGTAGCCAGTCTCTAGCATTCTGTTATAACAACACAAAACAGACTAAGACACCATCTATTTGGTCATTCCTATAAGCATAGAAGCATGTTACAATATCGCTTATTTTTTTTTAATTTCAGCATATTATGTGGGTACAAATTTTAAGGTTTCAAATAATGCCCTTCCCCCCTACCCCCACAAGTCTGAGTTTCCACCGTGACCATCCCCCAGACAGTGCACATCTCACTCATTATGTATGTATATATCCACCCCCTTCCCCCCTCCCACCTGCCCTATACCCTATTACTGTAGTTCCTATGTGTCCACTTAGGTGTTGCTCAGTTAATACCAGTTTGATGGTGAGTACATGTGGTGCTTGTTTTTCCATTCTTGGGATACTTCACTTAGTAGTATGGGTTCCAGCTCTAACCAGGAAAATATAAGATGTGCTATATCACTGTTGTTTCTTAGAGCTGAATAGTATTCCATGGTATACATATACCACATTTTATTAATCCACTCTTGGATTGATGGGCACCTGGGTTGTTTCCACAGCTTTGCAATTATGAATTATGTTGCTATACACATTCGAGTGCGGGTGTCTTTTGTAGAGTGTCATTGGATCTTTTGGGTAGATGCCCAGTAATGGGATTGCTGGATCAAATGGTAGATTCACTTGTATCGCTTTAAGGTATCTCCATATTGCTTTCCAAAGAGGTCCCACCAGCAGTGTAAGAGTGTTCCTATCTCTCCACATCCACGCCAGCATTTATTGTTTGGGGACTTTTTGATAAAGGCAATTCTCACTGGAGTTAAGTGATACAATATCGCTTATTTTTTAAAAAACATTTTACCTCATGTCTCCTGCCATGTACCTTTTCTTTGCTCCCTTTATCACCAAACCCTTTGAGTCATCTGTTCTCATTGTCTCCTATGCCTCTTTCTCCCATCTTCCACTTGACACTCTCCAATCATGTTTTCTACCCCAATACTCTTCCACAACAGACTTGTCAAGGTCATCAGTGAAGTCCATGTTGCCTAAGTGCACGATTTGTTCTCAATCCACATCCTACTAGACTGTGGTAGATTGTTCCATTACTGGCCCCAAACACTCCTGCCTCTCAAGATCCATGACCTGTGTGGTCCCCTCCCGCATCAACTCTGGACTTGGCCGTGAGACTTGCTTTGACAGATGGGACATTAGCAAGTCCGAAGCAAGCAGAGGCTTGGTAGGCACTTGTTCATTGGTTCTTGCTTTCTTGGAGCCAAGTTGTCAAGAAGTCTGGGCTGTCCTGCTGGCGAGGTCATGTGGAGGGGAATCAAGGCTCAGCAGCTCAAGCTCACCACCAGACCTGCGGACACAGCCATCAGGAAACATCCAGCTCGCAGCCAGCCTGCCGTCTGACTGTAACCACATAAGCAACCCCAAGCAAGACTAGCAGGTGCACCATCTAGCTGAGCCCAGTCTGAATTGCTGACCCACAGAACTATAAGCAATAGAATGATTGCTTTAAATCACTAAGTTTTGAGGTACTTTTAAATTCTATAATAGACGATGATGTACTTGACTCAGCAGCATTTGACAAAGTTGATCATGTCATGCCTATACAGATGTATATAAATTATTTTAATTATGGTAAAATATATATAACATAAAATTTACTATTTTAATCATTTTTAAGTATACAATTCAATGGCATTAAGCGTATTTACATACTGTGCAATCATTTCCACTGTCCATTTCCAGAACTTTAAAAAATCACCTCAAACAAAAACTCTGTACCCACCAAGCAGTAACTTCTCATTCCTCCACCCTTGCTATCCCTTGGCAACTACCATTCTACTTCCTGTCTCTATGAATTTGCATATTCTAGGTACCTGGTATAAGTTAAGTGATACAATATTTGTCCTTTTGTGTCTGGGTTATTTAACTTAACTTAATTTCTTTAAGTTTCATCCATGTTGGAGAATGGGTCACAATTTCCTTCCTTTTTAAGGCTGAATAATATTCTGTTGTATGACTATACTACATTTTGTTTATCCATTCATCAGTTGATGGACATTGTGTTGTTTCCACCTTTCAGCCATTGTGAATAATGCTGCTCTGAAGATTGGAATGTAAGTATCTGTTTGAGTACCTGTCTCATGACTTTCTTTTTGAAATCTTGTCTTTACTTGGCGTCCAGGATATCACTCTTAATTCTTTTTCTTTTATTGCTTCTTCTCAACTTTCTTTATTGTCTTCATCTCCAACACCTCTTAACATCTGAATGCCTCACAGCGCATTTCCTAGACTTCTCTTTTTACACAGACTTCCTTATTTCACCTGTTCCCCTAGCTTTAAATACCCACCTTTGAAATGAGACTCATGTTAATGTTCCAGCTTGGATCTCTGCTCCGAATTACAGACTTACATATTCAACTACCTGCCAGAAATTTCTATTTGGATGTCCAATAGGCATCTCAAACTAAATCTGTCCAAACATGAACTCTTGACATTACTGCCAAATTATTCTCCTATAGTCTTCCTATCTTGTTAAGTAACAACGTTATCCTTTCAGTTGCTCTGGCCAAGTTATCCTTGATTCCTGTCTTTCTCCTTTATTAGGAAATCCTATGGGCTGTATCTTCAAGATTAGATTCAGAAGTCCCAGCTACTCCGGAGGCTGAGGTGGGAGGATTGCTTGAGCCAAGGAGTTGAAGGTTACAGTGAGCTATTGATGCACCATTGCGCTCCAGCCTGGAGGACAGAGCAAGACCCTGTCTGTAAAAAAACAAAAAACCCAAACAAACATACAAGCAAACAAAGAAAAAGATAAGAAAAGAAATATGCCCTGAGTCTGTCCTCCTCCACAATTATCACCCTGCAGGAAACCACCACCACCTCTCGCTGGGTCACTGCAGCTGACCTCACGGGCTGGGCACCCCACGTCTACTTCTCCTCCCTCCAGTCTGTTCCCAGCACAGCAGCCAGAGTGTTTTCAAAAGGCAAGGCTCCTCCTCTGCTCGAAATCCTCCAATCAGCACAGTAAAATTGACAGTTATTGCTGTATCTTTTAAGATCTTTTGAGGACCTCAAACCTGCACCCTCCCCTGTGAGAGCTTTGGCATTGCTGTTCCTTTTCCCTGGAAAACTCTTTTCCACTTTCTCACATGCCAATGCCACCATCTCAATAAGGCCTTCCATGACTATTCTTTATAAAATAGTGACTTCTCCAGGCCCCAACTCCCCCACCTCCTATATTATGCTTTATTTTCTCTATCACACTTATTATCCTCTGACATCCTTCATATTTACTTGTTCATCTGTTGTGTTTTCCCCCACTGGAAGGTAAGCTCCATGGGTACAGGAATGTGGTTTATTGTGTTGATTGCTGCAATCCTGGAAGCCAACTACAGCCTGGCAAATAGTACATACGCTGTCAATAAATTAATGCTGAATGGATGAAGAAATCACAAATAATTCTGCCTTCTGGTGTATACACTAAAATGTAAATCTGCAAAATATATATTCAGGAACAGGACAGGCTGACCTTCAGAAAGTTGTTATTTGATGTACACATGTTAGATTGTGGAGATTGTCCCAAAGATAATACATTTCATTTTAATACAGAATAGTTAATTATTTTTTTCTGGCAGTAGTTAGAGAATCAGACCGTTTGTTTATTGCTGCCACTTCTGTGTGGGGTCCAATCAGGAATTTTATTATACTATCATTCACTGATGGAGTGGTGGAGAATAGAGGAGGGAAAGGGTTGTCAAAGCATAATTTCTTTAAAATAAAAATATACTCAGACAAATATAGAGTGAACACACATCAAAGATTTATTAAACTTGTTAACAAAGGAGTCAGCAAGATGAGAAACCTGGTGCCAAGATCATTTGAAGAAGTTTTAGGCACTAAAGAAAGAATGTTGAATGCCAGGTTATACAGAAACCTGGTTAATATCATACAGGCCAATAAAACCATAACTTTATGGTTATCTTTTCTATAGTACAGAATTATTTGTGTCCCTACCTGATGAAAATCTATGAGTTACCATCTAACCTCACAGTGTCTGGGCCCCTGTTAATAATAAATAACAAGTCACACAAAGGTATGTCTACCGTGTTTCCCTGAAAATAAGACAGGGTCTTATATTTATTTTTCCTCAAGAAGACACCCTAGGGCTTATTTTCCGGGGATGTGTTATTTTGTTTATGGTACAACAATCTACATTTATTCAAATATAGTTAAGTCGTCTTCTTCGGGAACATCATCATAACTCTCCAAACCCTGAATTCCATTCTGAATTTCTTGTGAGTCTATTTCCTTTAGAACCATTGGCCCCAATCTCTCATGTCGAGCAATAGAGCTCTCATGGGGCAGATGAGAAGGGCTGCTCGTCTTCTTTACTGCTTCACGACAAAATGCATGGGTTGTGCAGATATGATGCGTAGCCACTCCCACCACTAGGTCTTATTTTGGGGGTAGGGCTTCTATTGCACAAATTCTTAGAAATCCTGCTAGGGCTTATTTTATGGGTAGGTCTTATTTTGGGGGAAACACGGTATGAGAGAATTAAGTAATTTTCCAGTGGATGTGTTTGACAAAGTTCTGGTCTGATCTTAAAAGGGTGTGCAGTCCTCCTTTCGCCTAATTTCCAAGTTTTGGATAATTTTTCTTAACATCAACATAGACTCAATTGATCTTAAAGTGATTTCTACTTATTTAGAAATTTTTAAAAGAAGAGATTTACAAATATAAAAAAATAGTGTGACCTTATTTTAACCCCAAAATCAGAACACCCAATCTGACAAGTCAGCAGGTGAAGGCGTATACACAGTAAGACATCTCGTTGGACACCCAGACTTCCAGACAATTGTGAATGGTGCTCCGCATAAGAATAGAGAGTCTTCCAAGTTAATCATCCATTTTTCCTTTAAAACATTTTCTTGGCTAAGAAGTTTTTGTTTTGCAGCATGTGCAATGTACTGTTTGTGCCCAGAAATTTGTGTGGGCAGGGGAATGCACATTCTGGGGTATTGGTCATAACTGTTAGCCCCTACAGGGGCTGTGCTCTGTGGCTGGACATGGGTCACCCCCAAAGATTTGGGACTGTGTTTCCCGCTCCATCAAGGAGGAAGACACTAACAGCGCAAAAAGAAGAAGGGAAAATTAGAAAGGAATTATCTCATGTAATTTTTGTGTCCCAGTGACCATTTTACTGAAAGAAAAGTGAGACTTTGGAACATTAAGTCGCAGATCCATGCAGTTAGTGACAGGACTGAGTTTATTCATTCCAAAGACAGTTTTTCTTTCCTTTTTCTTTCATTAAAAATGATGTGACGTTGCTTCCATCTGAGGCCACTCAGAAAAGGGGAGGGGTCCCGTTAGTCCTCCTTGTCTCTGCCCCTTGTATTGTCATTTTAGGTGCATTAGTGCAGGTGACGCTCTCGAAGCATTGCCTGGCACGTGGCTGGCATTCAGTGTGTGGGGCTGTCACCTGCCTGATCTGCCCTGCATGCTGCCCTTCCCCACGGCACCAGCGGGCTGACGCTGTCATTCCGATGACCTCGTTTCATCCTTGCAATGCTCCTATGAAGTTGGAAGGGCATGCATTATTTTTGCTTTTTCACAGATACGTAAACTGAGGTTTCTATAGATCAGGAGCCCTTCCCATGATAATATCAAATAGCAAGAGGCAGATGTGGAACTAAAACAGGGGCGTCCAGCCCACCGCACACAATGCCACTGCCCCTTTGGCAGACTCGGTTGTTTTCCCTCCCTGTTATCTCCCTGCTCCCCACACCGAGCCTAAGTGACTGTGGAGTTTTCCTCTCTGGAGTGCTCAATCAGTCTTTCCCACCTCCTTCCTCTCCTTATATCTTCTGCATTTTAGGAAGGGGCTTGGGAAATTGAAGAAAGGACGGCACCATGACCTGAGACTCCACGCCCTGCAGGGTGAGGGAGGACCGCAGGCTGAGCGCGCCCTCTGCTGTCGGTTCTGGGTAGGGCCGGAGCCCTGAACAAAGGCTGGGGGTGGAAGTGGGGTTAGGGGTGTGTGGCAAGTCACAGTCCCTAAATGACCCCAAGAAATGATACTGAGGTAAAATTCACAATAATAAGCTAGGAAGAAAGCTCTGAAGGAATTTGCTTTTCCTACTTGTTATTTGTAGCACCACTAGAAAAGATATAAAAAGTTGAGAGGATTTTGAAAAATCAGGTGTGATTATAAGAAGTAATAAGAATCTTATTTGTAAAAATAAAATTCACAAAAATAAGCTAGGAAGAAAGCTCTGAAGGAATTTGTTTTTCCTACTTGTTGTTTGTAGCACCACTAGAAAAGATAAAAAAAAGTTGTGAGGATTTTGAAAAATCAGGTGTGATTATAAGAGGTAATAAGAATCTTATTTGTAAAAATGCGTATTATTCATATCACAAAAAGCCTGGGCTTTGGAATCAGACCCATCAAGGGTCTAATAGCAACTCTGCTATTGATGAGCTTTTTTGGCTCTGGGGAAATCACCCCTCACCTTTCTAGCCTCGCTCCCCCCTTCCCTGAAAAGTGAGTGAGCCAGCGGGGGGCTGGGCGCCTCAAGCAGTGTCTGAAACACAGTGGACGCTTGGTGGGAAAGTGAAGAAGGAAGACAGAGAGGGGAGAAAGGTACAGTAGGCATTAAGGAATTAAGTGGACTCTCTTAATGGAAAACTATTCAATTCATGAAATTTACATTTAAAAACTATTTCGTGCATTCATTCCTGAGTTTTGCTACTTTTTATCTTTTTAGACACATACTGGTTATGGAAATCGGCGAACTTGTCCTTAAAAGTAATTGCCTATTCAATAGCCACCAAGGGTGAAAGACATCCCGCCTGCAGAAGAGGAAAAGTCACCATGCCTGTGTGAGCCCCCATAAAACCAAGGGCTACAGAGACTAGGCGAGGCTTCCTGGAGCAGGTGGCCTTTACACAGACTTGGGTGCAGGGTTGACATAAGTAGAAAGAAGGGAGGGAACTTACCCTTCAAAGGCCTCTGTGTTTACAAGTAAAGATCAAAGGTTAGAGGAGCCTAAGGGGAGGAGTAATATAGGTGAGACCAAAGGAATGTTTTAAGAGAAGCCTAGAGAAAGAGGCCACTTGGTGTGATAATTACTTTATTTATTTTTGCCCATACTCCCCGACACCTTTATAGTTTATGAAAACTTCAGATTGTTTACAATCTGATGAAAGCTTAAAGACACTTATCATTGATTAATAAAAATAGCCAGGCAATGCTGTCACAAATCTGTGATCCATTATTACACCATTAGAATTACTGGATTAGTAAAAGAAAAAAAAATGCAAGTTGGGTAGATTCTCCTGGAGCTTAAGCTCTCTGAGTAGAGAAGAGAACAAGCTGGTCAACAAATAATTGCCATTTACGATGGATGGGTCCAACAGATTCTTAAGGGCTGCAAAAACACTATTGCTATCTTTGGAAAGAGAAGTGAAAGATATGGCCAAAATTACAGAGTAGAACCATGCTTGCTGGGAATGCTGAGCCTGTTCGTGACTGGGCTTTCTTGGGTCATGGTGTGCAAGATCTTTTGGGGTGAACTCTTAGAGGGGTGCCAACTGCTAACGCTCAGTGGGCTACATGACTGCTAGTAGCAACGCTGGTAACAGTGATAACTACTAGTAGTGACAGCAGCAGACATCCCCCCCCACCTGTTCCTCTTGCTACCCCTCTTTCACAGAATGACCTTCTTTTCTATTCTAAGACATAAATAAACTTAAGAGCACAGATAACAGCAAAATAGTAAAATCATTAGGAACAGATAACTTTGGGGTATTCGTTGCCTTTGTATTTAATATAATTTATTTAATTTTAAGTTTAGCTTAATTTTTAATAATGGCCACTTATTAAACTGTTTCCCAAAATTCTTGAAAATTTAACAATTGGCTCTTGTGAGCTTGTACATGATTGGGGGACAACTGAAGTAATTAGGTATTGGATAGTTATGAAAAATGGACATTGTGGCTGTCCACTGTGGACAGACTTGCAAGACGAGGAAAAAATATGACTTTTATTTAGTAGTTCACAATTGAAGAGAGAAGAGTAAACGATGCAATTTAATGCCATTGAAGCTGTTAGGTTAGTGCACTCTAGAGATATTTCGTACAATCTGCCACTATCTTTACCATTACCTTTATAGCTCCTTTTTTTCTCCCCCACAGATTTTCTGAATTTTTCTAAAAAACATCTTTATTGAGATATAATTTATATACCATACAAACCCCTGTTTTAAGTGTGCAATTAAATGGTTTTTTCACAGCTCCTTTAACTGATCTCCCTTGGAATCTTCTCTCATTTTTTTTTCTCCTCTGAACAGAGTACCGAACAGAGTACCATGTTGATTTCCTGTCTTAAAAGTTCAATTATTTGACCCTATTACAAAACCTTATATACAACAGTAACTTTTTTTCAGGACAGTTGAAACAAACATTTGCAGCGAACTGGATTTCTCACAGATTCGCCTCAAGCCCTTGACAGTGGAACGCCAGGTGATTGGTCAGCAGGCGAAGCTGTGTTCGGTATCAGTTTCCAGGTAGCTTCGAGGAGTCCCGGAAGTCATTCCCTTGATATGCTAGCTAACATTTACTGGGTTTCCGGCACTGTCTTCCATCAGCCTTTCTTTGCCCCAGCACATGGTGGGGAGCCAAATAAACCAAGAAGATAGGACATGGAACCGAAACTCACTATGGATTTATTATATATTAATGTCTTTGTATGCATTATAATCAGTAAAATCACTATTACATTCCTCATTTGACAGATGAGGCGGTGGAGGCTTAGAGAGAGTGGTTTAGCTCGTGTGAAGTCATGCAGGTGGACAGTGGGGAGGTAGACTCCCTTGGTCTGTAGTGACGCTATGCAGGACCCCGTGTTGGTAAATCAGGAATTGCGTAAACCCTGGGAGAGGCAGTGTGGGCAAGGAACGCAGACCTCGCCCAGAATGGGTTTCAGTTTAGTAAGGACAAATTGCCACCTCGTCTATGGTGCAAGAGGTCTGATGGAATCAACTTGGCACCGAGTAGCTGGCTAGCGTCCTCAAGGCACTGTGCCGTATCAAAGCTCAGTGTGGGCTGT